AAGCTATTTAGTCTAAATATTTATGTTTTTGTGTTATAATTTGTTGTCATTCTAAAATGAAAGAGGCATAATTTACATTCATTTCTTAATATTTTATGATGGTTACGAGATTGGTCAAATCTACCAAACCCGTACAGAAATTCATTACTGAAAATAACAGATAAAATATAAAGTTTTTTTCCTAAGCATTGTAATGTTTACTGATAATGTGTCAAATTTGTTTAACATTTGCTTATTCATTTAAAAGTTATATCATGAAAACTATAACAAGCGCAAAATGGTTAAGAGGTCGGTTCCAGGAACCAAGCCTGTGCTGAAAGAGTTAATAATAACACAAACTTTTTCTGTATGCTTCAAACATCTTGCTCTAAATTATTTTCTGCAAACAATGAACTGGATTTCAACATCATCTATTGCTTAAGATTTAATTAAAGTTGTTTAAAAAAACACCTTATAAGCTTTTGAAAATTTACCCAAACCTTACATCAGTATGAATGCATGTCACAGTACAAAGACCACATTATGGAAGTGGCACTTAAATGACATTTTAAAAAAAAGACTGAAACAATTGACCTGCCAAACTACAATGTATGAAAACATTTAACATCATGCAACATGTACATACAAGACATTTTATGTATATAAATGCTATAAAAAAGTACTGTTTTATAGTATCATAGCATAAGTTTAATAAAAAATAACTCCAGAGTGGTTTACATCAAAATGATGGAATCTTGTTCATTTTCAGAAACTATTAAGAAAATAATAACAGTCTGGTAAAAAAAGTTATAAAACTTTTGCCCTTATTTTCCATTGGAGCTGTACATGTAGTTGTAATGATTGAGCAAGTCTGGGATTGGTGTTGTATTGCTACACTCACAGTTCGATGGTAAAGTACAACCTTTGTTTCAGTTTTATATTGGAAGACTACTTGTCAAATATTTTTCAGTCGTGTAAAATTCACTGGCCAATTTTTATGAATATTGTCTGTTTCATTCACATGTGTGCGAGCAATGCAGAGTTTGACTTTTTTAAGTTATTTAAGAATTTTATGTTTTAACTGCTGAATGGGTGAGGAAAACACTATGATTGACATACAATTATAAAGTACATTTAAATATTTGAGCAATAATTAAATAACTAATTTAAAACAACTTGTTAGTTGTTGTGTATGCTCCTTTCAGTTGTAAGAAGAGTATTTCTATAAATATAGAGTCCAGCAAGATAATGCTGGATTATATATACGTATTGTCTGTAAGATAGAACATGTGTAAACATATAATGGAATGAAAATTGTACAAATTATGTTAATCAATATTTCAAGCAAGGTGCATTACAAATATATATATGTGTGAGTGTGTGTGTGTATACACACTGAGTGGTCACAAGTAAATAGACACCT